TGTGTGTGTGTGTGTGTGTGTGTGTGTGTGTGTGTGTGTGTGTGTGTGTGTGTGTGTGTGTGTGTGACTCATATATACATATATATATATACACACACACACACACTCACTATCTATATATATATATATATATATATATATTTAAAAAAAAAAAAAAAAAAAAAAAAAAAAAAAAAAAAAAAAAAAAAAAAAAATATATATATATTTTTTTTTTTTTTTATATATATATATATATATATATATATATATATATATATATATATATATATATATATATATATATATATATATATATATATATATATATATATATATGTGTTGCAAAAAATATTACAATCTACAACATTTCAAACAAAATATTATATTTTTTTCTCTTGATTTTTGCTATTTTTGAACATTTTATTTAACATTTTGCCATAACATACTAATTTCTGAACCAATATTGTAAGTTATTTTGTTAAAATAGCTTAATGTATATGTACAAATATAATATTGTAAAGCATATACACACACACACACACACACACACACACACACACACACACACACACACACACACACACACACACACACACACACACACACACACACACACACACACACACACACACACACACACACACACAGTTTTAGCCAATAACTTGCCAATTTAACCCAACTTGGCTAGTTACATTGCACTTAAACTGAATACTTGTATCTTGAAAAATATCTAATTAAATACTGTCATCATCAAGACAAATAAATTAGCTATCAAAACTATTGCTTAAAATTGTGTTGAAAAAAACTTGAATAGAAGAACTTGGGAAACATCTAAAACAAAATAAATAAATAAATAAAAATCACAGGAGGGCTAATAATTTGGTCTTCAAATGTATATATAACAAAATTCCAATCATCAGACAATAGCTCTGTAGATAAGAATTATTATTTATTATCATTAAATAAAATGTAGGGATTACTAATATATTACAAAAACAAATAATTTAATTTTTAATTCAATTGTATTACAAACTAGTTACATTTCACCATTGTTAAATTTATTATTTTAAAATTTGACAATATTCAAAATTATTTTACATTTATATGTAAAATATTTGGTCGTTCTTTATATCTAAGAGGACCACATGATGGTTTGACAGACTAAATATAAGCTAAAAACGTTTTATCTTAGATTTTTGAAAAAGGAAACCTCCATACTTCGCTATTAAAATGATTTTGCATAGGGATGCACCGATCGACCTGCCGGAGATCGATCGATCGGTACTCGCTGACCTGGTCGATCTCATGAACTAATCACAAGTTGGACATGAGCAAAATATTTGAATGAACTTACATGCATTTAGGTCTTTTAACATCAAAGAACTGAAAGTTCTGTGTTTTTGAGAATATTGCAAGTTTAATAAAACATGGCTGAAAGAATAACATACATTTAATAATAATAAAAAAATAAACATAAAAATATTTTTTGACATGAATATTTAATAATATAACATCTTGTAATTTACCTATTACAATCAACAGTACTTTATAGACATACTTCCTATTAGTAAAGTAGGATTTATAAGAAATAGATTTATAGGTTTGCATTTTAACTTCCTATGCATCAAATATACGCTTCAAACTTTTCTGGAATGAGACATGTTGAATTTTTTTTTTATCATTTGCAACGTTTCCAAACTGCATTGTTAGTTTTATAATTACTTATTATAAACTTATAATAAATACCTATTTATAGTGGTTATAAGAGACGTGTTTAGGGGGTTATATGCAGTATCCTTCATTTATTATCTTGGCTAAGGAGAGATCTCCACTTAAGTGTAATACCTAGAGGGAAAAGAGGGTTTGAGGGTTTTATGCATTATAAAGCTTAACGCATCCGAATCGGTACTCATTATCGGCCAATCACCATGAAAAGGAATCAGTACTCGGTATCGGCTGCAAAAATCCTGATCAGAGCATCAGTAATCTTGCAATACTTTTGCAGGAAAAGTGAATAGTTAAAATATGGAAATGCTGACATACTGGAATATTATTCTCCGTACAAAGCCACTAAACCCTACACAAACAACATAAGACAACACATCGAAATGCCAGAAATTACTTTAAAATCTATTTAAAGCAAACAAAAAAAACCCAGCTATATGTGAAATTACCATTCATTAATGTCTTGTCGATCTGAAACAGCCTTTGTGTTCTGCATCCATATTCACATCCACTTCAGATCTCCATTCTAGACATGAAGAATGCAGAAACATCAGTATTTGAATGCACACACATATAACTCAATACACACACACACACACTCATCATTTTTACATGCATTAACGCGTATAAATGCAGATGCATCACATTCAATTAGCCAAATCTAAGCGACGACGTCTTATTTACACAATTATCCGTCACATTACATTGAACATTTCTCTAATAATAACCTCAGCATTCAATATTTACAACCACCCATCAGTTCTTAATGTTATTGTCTTTCATTTTGTAAAAAACGAGCATTTGAATACTTACATTCACCTTTAAACACACACAGATTCGCTAACATAAACGACACACACCACAAACGACCCAAGTTTCTCCATCACCACGGTAAATAAAAGGTAAACAATTGATGTTTGCAGCAGCTGCTCCTCTGAGAACAATGAATCTGTTAGCTGGTGCGCTAAAGCAGCTAAAATGAGCCTCAAACAAACACCAAACCGGCTCTTTTAAAAGCCAGGAGTAACTAATCTGAATACCACTCAAACATATAACACGTTAACACTCATATCGAGGACTAAAGTGAGGCAGAATTCGCTAAACTCTCTGACTGACATGCACAGTTACTACATTAGCATTGTTAGCGTTTAGCCAGCGGTTATTGACCATTTTCAGAACAACACCGCTTTTAAAGTTACTCAAACTCTCTTAACCTTCACCTAGAGGAAACGTCAAACAATATCGGCTCAATTAAGGCCACAATGGCACAGGGGACAAATATAGAAAAAATATATAACATACATACAGAGTACAAATACAGTCAGGTAGCCATGAACATCTCCAAGGCTTCAAACCGCAACGCCCAATCAGATTCGAGCTGTCAAATACGTCACGCCTACATCATAATGCTGTAAAAGCAGTACGCCGCTTGGCATATTTATTTTTTTGCGACAATTGTGGCTGAATAAAGGCAAACAGCAGTACATGTGGTTCATTTCCGCGGAGATTATGAAATCGTTGTATACAAATTTACAAATGAGCAGTTTTCATTACGTTACGAGTTCTGCTTATACGCAGTATGTGTCGTAAAGTCACGTAAGTAAGTCACTGGATTTCAGTACGATTTTATGTGTATTGTAACGTTATATCTCTAATTACACTTTAAGAATTTCTAAATATTACTAATATTTCTTTAGGAAATGGATATCTCAGACTGAATCAATTAAAAAATTTGAGATGGTTGGAAAATCGCCATAAAGCTTGTAAGTGATGCACTAAGCTATTTATTTCTCTCGTAATATCAACATATAAGATTTCACTTAATATAAGTAGCATTACTTTGGATCTAAATTAAAATATTTATTATTTTAAACTTAAAAATGTCATCAGTAGTTTACAGAACAAAACAAAAATGACCTTTTATGCAAACACTATCAACTATCGAATGTAACTCCAGCAAAATTGATGACTTATAAGTGTTGTTTATATATTAAACAGTCAAATTATTCATCTATAATGTACTTTAAAAAGTGTTTACCATTAATATGTGATAAATATCAGTTCTGTTGTTGTTCATTAATTATAAATAAATTATATAAATGTTGAAATGATTGGAAAATCGCCATAAAGCTTGTAAGTGATGCACTAAGCCAGTGGTTCTCAAACGTTTTTCATCAAGTACCACCTTAGAAAAAAATTGTCTCTCCAAGTATCACCAAAATGAGCAGTATTGAAATACAGTAGCATAGTAGGTCCAGTAAAGCAGCTAAAACTCTGCACAGTTAAAAAACCTGGCAGATTACCTCAGAAATGTAGGCTATATATCATATAATGCATATTATATACATCATTTTTAATGCATTTTGAAATATATGTAGCATGTACATGACATATTTCATTCCTCCGTGTACCACTAGAAGGAAGCCCGCGTACCACTAGTGGTACACGTACCACAGTTTGAGAACCACTGCACTAAGCTATTTATTTCTCTCGTAATATCAACATATACAATTTCACTTAATATAAGTAGCATTACTTTGGATCTAAATGACAACATTTATTATTTTAAACTTAAAAATGTCATCAGTAGTTTACAGAACAAAACAAAAATGACCTTTTATGCAAACACTATCAACTATCGAATGTAACTCCAGCAAAATTGATTAATTATAAGTGTTGTTTATATATTAAACAGTCAAATTATTCATCTTTATTGTACTTTAAAAAGTGTTTACCATTAATATGTGATCAATATCAGTTCTGTTGTTGTTCATTAATTATAAACAAATTATATAAATGTTGAGATGATTGGAAAATCGCCATAGAGCTTGTAGGTGATGCACTAAGCTATTTATTTCTCTCGTAATATCAACATATAAAATTTCACTTGATATAAGGAGCATTACTTTGGATCTAAATGACAACATTTATTATTTTAAACTTAAAAATGTCATCAGTAGTTTACAGAACAAAACAAAAATGACCTTTTATGCAAACACTATCAACTATCGAATGTAACTCCAGCAAAATTGATGAATTATAAGTGTTGTTTATATATTAAACAGTCAAATTATTCATCTATAATGTACTTTAAAAAGTGTTTACCATTAATATGTGGTAAATATCAGTTCTGTTGTTGTTCATTATTATAAATAAATTATATAAACGTTGAGATGATTGGAAAATCGCCATAAAGCTTGTAAGTGATGCACTAAGCTATTTATTTCTCTCGTAATATCAACATATAAAATTTCACTTGATATAAGTAGCATTACTTTGGATCTAAATGAAAACATTTATTATTTTAAACTCAGAAAAGTTATTATTAGATTACAGAATGCAACAAAAATTACCTTTTCTGCAAACACTATCAATATTGATTGTAACTCCAGCAAAATTGACGACTTATAAGTGTTGTTTATATATTAAACAGTCAAATTATTCATCTTTATTGTACTTTAAAAAGTGTTTACCATTAATATGTGATCAATATCAGTTCTGTTGTTGTTCATTATTATAAATAAATTATATAAACGTTGAGATGATTGGAAAATCGCCATAAAGCTTGTAAGTGATGCACTAAGCGTTTTATTTCTCTCGTAATATCAACATATAAGATTTCACTTGATATAAGGAGCATTACTTTGGATCTAAATGACAACATTTATTATTTTAAACTTAAAAATGTCATCAGTAGTTAACAGAACGAAACAAAAAAGACCGTTTACGCAAACACTGTGAACTATCAATTGTAACTCCAGCAGAATTGAGTAATTATAAAGTGTGTTGTTTATGTATTAAACAATCAAAGTACATTAAATCCTTAATGCACTTTAAAAAAAGTTTTATGATTAATTTGTGAAAAAATATAAGTTCTCCCTACTGAAAAACAGCCTAAACCAGCCTAGGCTAACTGAGGTAAAGTAGGTTTGATATTCGCACATTCGTTCATTTAATGGCCCATATATTGTTTACCATGCTAAGTTGAATATTGAGTCTGAAAAAGCATGCAGGAATGACTTTAAAACAACATTAACACTATCTAATGGACATTTTCTGCTAATATGATTTCACTATTTAGAATTAGCAAAGAATACTCATCTGACATTATATTATTAAGTGGAAAGTCAAAATGTGCAAATATAAAACCAACTTTACCTCTATCCTAAGCTGGTTGGCTGGTTTTTAGCTGGATGACCAGCCTGGTTTTAGAGGGATTTTGGCCACTTTCAGGCTGATTTCCGGCCATTTCCAGCCTGGTCTTAGCTGGTAAGGCTGGAAAATGACCAGCTAAAATCAGCTTGGCCAGCCTGGTTAAAGCTGAACATTGCTGGTTTTGGCTGGGCTCCCAGCCTGGCTAGGCTGGTCAAGATGGTTTTAGTATGGAGACAGATTAGACTCAATAATAATTCACGCAAAAGACACGATGTACACATGCGTAGCCAAATTCACGTGCATAAAATCAAATTCACGTGCGTAAAATATTTATTTATATTCACAAAAAAATTTCATGTGCACAAAATAAAAATACATTTTCATAAAATACGTTTCACAAATGCAAAACACCATTTGCAAATGTATAAGAGTGTACAAAAAGTTTTGAATGTTTAAAACTTGCGAGTTTATCCTGAATAAGAATGTGCAAATCCTCTTTCACGTACGACTCCCCCTGGATACGTGTGTGTGTATTATTGAGACTTTCCTGCCAGAGGCAGGGTAACTCGTACCTTTCAGCCAATCAGATGAGAGCTGTAGTCAATGACACCAACTCTGCACTTCATTTGCGCAGACTGTTTCTCTCCAGCATGGCGAACGGAGAAAACAGCAGTCGGAGTTGCACTTTTTTTCATTTATTTAATTATTTGTCCATAGCCTCACTCTTTTTATCCATTATTTTGCCGCAGCTCCGCTCTTCTTATTTATTTTCTTTCAGCCTCATGAGCAGAATGTAGCCAGCAGAATGATAAAATATCATTCCGGCGATTGAAGCATAGCAGTACCACTGTGGTCTAGCGGTCAGTACGTTGCATTATCAAGCTGCCGACCCAGGTTCGATCCCCACCTGGCTTAAGCTTTTATTTTTCTTCATTTTTATTGTTAAGACATATAAAACTGTAAGGTTGTTGAACATTTGAAGTTCCAAAGCAGCTGTTTTCTTCAAAAAGATTTTAATATAGTCAGTCGTGAACTGAGGTGGGCCGGTCAAAGGCTTAAAACTCCAGGGCTGAAAAGGAGTCCCACTCCGGCCCTGATTATATCCAATGAACGTAAACAAGCTGCTGTTGTGCTTTAGTAATATAATATGTAGAATATACAATATACACAAACACTATCAACTATAAATTGTAAATCCAGCAAAATTGAGGAATTAAAAGTGTGTTGTTGATGCATTAAACATATGAAACATTAGTGGGATGAAATGAAAATGTTCTTACTATTAACTCATCCTCAAACAGATCCAAACATGTATGTTTTTCTTTCTTCTGTTGAACACAAAAGAAGATATTTTGAGGAATGTTGAAACCATGTAACCATTGACTTCCATCATAGGAAAAACAAATACTGTACTATGGAAGTCAATGGTTACCGGTTTTCAGCTTTCTTCACAATATCTTTTTATGTATTTAACGAAAAAAAGAAATGTATAAAAGTTTGAAATAAGTAAAAATTAGTTAAGGATGACTTTTCAAAGGCCCTCTAAAAGATGAAATGATAAATAATTTGAAATAGTTTGAAACAAGTAAAGTGTGAGTAAATGATGCAGAATTTTTATTGTTTTTATTTTTGGGTGAACTATCCCTTTAAGACTTGCTGATGATCACTCTTATGAATGTTTTTTTCACAGTATGTCATGATGGAGGCCTTAGGACTGGACTTCCACACTTTTTTTTGTCTGATAAATCGGTTCTAAGATTTTAAAAATGTATTGTTATATTGAAATGAAAATTTATTTACTATTTACTCATCCTCAAGCGGTTCCAAACATTTTTGCGTCTCTTTATTCTGTTGATATTACGCCCCAAGTCTAGGGGGAAACAACATAGTCTCAATAAACGAAAAAGTTTGTGGGTGTTTGATTTTCAAAAAAAAAAATAGTTAAATTGAAATTCAAAGCGTTTTTTGATTTTCGTTTTTAAATTTTAAAACGAAAATCAAAAAATAGCTCGTTTTTCTTTTTTCATGGTGAAAAACGGAAAACCTAAATTCAAAAATGATTTAATTTTCATTTTTTATTTCGAATAACAAAAAATAAAATCACCAGAAAACTAAAACGGTCTTTTGGTCATTGGATATTCATTTTAGAAACAGATATTGAAAATCAAAAAACAAGTAATTTTTTTGATTTTCATTTTAAAATTAAAAAACTAAAATTTAAATACAATGCGTTTTTCATTTTCGTTTTTTAATAAAAAAAAAAAAAAAACGACTCGTTTTTTGATTTTTAATATCTATTTCTAAAATGAATAGGGTAGGAAAATCCAGGAGCTCCCCGAACTCTGCTGGAAGTTCCCTTTTATAGACCTCCATGACCAGCAGCCAATCAGAGCCTGGACCATTTTAAAATCGGAGCCTATGGAGTAACAGGAAACAACACAAGGCAGGACAAAGAAAAAGACACATGTAATGCGCAGCAAAAATAAATAAACTAGTCGTAACAGTTGAACAAAAAAGAAGATATTTTGAAAAATGTTGGAACCCTATAACCATTGACTTCCATCGTAGAAAAAACAAATACTATGGTTGTCAATAGTTACCTGTTTCCAGCTTTCTTCACAATATCTTCTTATGTATTTAACGGAAGAAAGAAATGCATAATGGTTAGAAACAAGTAATAAATGATGACTTTTTTGGGGGTTGAGCTATGCTTTTTAAGACTTATTTTTATATATTTGAACTATTTTCACCTGCTGTGATGAACAGCCACTTTAAAAGGCACTCGAAAAGTTGAAATGATAAATATTTTGAAATGGTTTGAAAAGGTTTAAACAAGTAAATGATGACACAATTGTCATTTTTTGGATTAACTATCCATTTAAGACATGGGTCTCGAACTCAATTCCTGGAGGGTCACGACTCTGCACAGTTTTTGTTCCAATTCTAATCAAACACAGCTGATCCAATTAATGAAGGTGTTCAAGATTAATAGAGATTATTAAAGGGTCATGAAACACCAAAACACATTTTTTGAGCTGTTGACAGTCGTATATGTGTCCCACACTGCTAAAAACACTATTAGGACACCTATATTTCACTAAAAAGTGTAAATTGGTTGTTTTTGCGTTATTTCAAGCAAATCTGTACTTCTAGTTTGAAACGAATTTTTGAAGCTGCGTCACGGCCATGACATAATAGCCTGTATTCCAGCGTGCAGACTGGACGCCTGTACCAGAGTGTGTCTTATTACGTCTTACAGTGTGATGCATTAATGCATGAGTAAGGCTTGGTTCAAACCAATCAGCGCGCTCTATTGTGCAACTTCATTAATATTCATTACTGTCACAGTGTTTAGACGACAGAGACGCCACGTTGTGTTGGCAAAACAAGCGTGAAGTGTTGCTTTTATAGTTTGCTGCCATTAAGTTTTGTTGTCATTTTCTCTCTGTGAGAGCGCAGCTGGAGTCACGTGTGGATTAACAGTGTACGCGACGCTCGACAACAATAACTTACGTGTCTAAGGAGGATTATTGTTTACCTGAGAGCTGTTCTCATCTGCAAACGCTGAGATCCGGATTCGCTTGTAGTCTCCTCTTAATAAAGACGCGGCTCTAGTTGCTGGTGATTGTCCTGTCTCTACAGATTTGGTAAGTGAGCGACCAGTGCTCTTTATTTATTCAGTTTGTTCGTATCGAACTAAGTTAACTATTGCACCGAGTGTAAACATGTTAGCACCACAACCAAACTTTAACCTCGTGTAGGATTTTCACCGCATTTTGTGACCGGAATAACACACGCGGCTTTCTGACGCTACCTGCCGTGTGCATCTAAGTTTCCTGGAAATGCGGAGGGTTTTTTTCTCTCATTCGCCGTGCGGTGTCAAACATTGCATGAAAAATACACGCTTAGAGCAGTTCCTCGAATCAAATATCTCGTTTGTCACGAGGGACATGAATGAATTCCCTAAATGAAAGAGCCAAACTGCAGTTAAAGTCCAACATTTAATAATTTGGCAAATAATTCTACTACAGATGTCCATGTAAACACAGTCACTTTCTCCCCTGTGTGTGTGTGTTTTGACTCTAAAACTCAGCGTGCCCAAATAGACACTCCCACACCCTCCCACTTTAGTTCCTCCGACACTCCCCCCTAAACAGAGCTGGACACGCCCACTTTTCTGACTTTTTCCAAAGAAGAGGTGTAAAAACACCCTGCTGAAACAAGGGGGTTTCATGGCCCTTTAAGCAGGTGTGAGTTAAAGGTGGTTGGAGCTGAACTGTGCAGAGCTGTGGCCCTCCAGGAATTGAGTTTGAGACCACTGCTTTAAGACTTACTGATGATCACTCTCATGGATGCTTTATTCACAGTATGTCATTATGGAGGTCTCAGAGCTGGATTTCCACAGTGTTTTTGGCCTGTTGCATGCTGGATCGGCTCCAAGTTTGAGCAGTGAAGATCTCGCCAGCAGAATCTCCTCCTGTGTTCAGACTGTCACAAACACAGATGATACGTGTTTGAGTCTCAGTCTCATTGAGAGCGTCATTAGCAGACTCGCAGCACACAGTTTTACAGCGGACGCCGCTGTATATTATCAAGATGTCATCAGGAGATTGTTCACTGAGAGGAATCTCATGGCTAAACTGGTATGTTTCAAATGAAAGAAGTAATGATATTTTGATGATTATAAAATATGATGTATTTAATAAAGTCAAACCTATATCTGCAGGTTTCTCTCCTTAGATGTCAGGATAAGCTCGTGTCTCATTTATCTGCTAAGTGCATGTCTGTCTACGTCATCAAAGAGCTTGGCATTGCTGTGAGTATCACATACCTGTCAACTCTCCTATTTTTCCTGGGATTCTCCCGTATTTTATAGTTCTATCCCGCTATGATTCCGTAAAGATATTTTCCCGTATTTTCCCTGTATTTTTAGTGTTTCTCTGAAGGGTGGCAAATAAACATTAAAGAGCTGAGCCTCCCTATACGTAACCCATACCGCCGAACCACTAGGGGCTCCCCCTTGCTCTTAAATGTGAGTCAGTTCTGTGCTTTCGCTTTGTTTAGGTATGAAAACACTTTGAAATAAACATAAAAACGACGCGATTCCCTTCCTTTTCATTACAAACGTCATCTCCTGTTCATATGCAATCCTCAAAACAATCAATTTATAGAGGTGCATGACTGTCAACTGACATGCTTCATTGGTAAACAGACGCTGTTTCCCAAACGGATTCTGTCCTCGTGATTTGAAGCGGAGCAAAGTCTGGGTTTTGGGTGCGTGTTTAAACAGACATATACACATAATTAATAATATTAATATCTAAAGATTTTGATCTTGGTGAGTTTTTTTTTTTTCAAACACAAGTAATGTTGTCCTAAATGAGCATAAACGGTTAGGAAAGCAGTCGAATGCTTTCATTTCAATGTTAGATGTGTGCATTTTTAAAGTGACACCTGTTATTTAATGTAGTCACACGAAAAAATCTAAATAAATCATTCATTGGTTGCTCTTTAATCAGAATGTGTGAGTTATACAGTATAGAAACGGCTATTGAGATTTGATTCTACTTCATCATACTGTACTATTATGAAAAATCTGCTGAGAAAAAAAATGCAGAAAAATCCAGCTTAAACCAGCCTAAACTGGTTTTAGCTGGTTGACATCTCCCAGTGTCACAGAGACAAACTCCGTGATTCCCTCCTCTAACCAGCAGAGGGCACCATTACCTCATTATTAACTGACAGTTCCCTCACTACATTTCCCATCTACCCCGTTTGATAATGGGCCCAGCTGAAATCACTCCGCCATCTATTTAAGCACACTGGTTTGTTTCATTCTTTGCGAAGTCTGGTTTGCTACTAGTTGACATTTCTGAGCGTTTATACATTACTTTGATTTTCCTGTTGTGACCTTGCCTGTTTACCGTCTACGATCCCTTGCTGCCAGCCCTGACCATTTGCCTGTTTATGACCACGATTCTGTTACTCTGCCGTTGTTTGATTACTGTGATAATAATAAACTGCACGATGAATCCCAATCTCGGTGATGATTCATTACACCCAGCCTGACCAGCTTAGACCAGGCTGGAAATGGCTGGAAACCAGCCTGGAACTGGCCAAAACCCCTCTAAAACCAGCCTGGTCGACCAGCTAAAACAAGCCAACCAGCCTAGACTGGTTAAAGCTGTTTTTTTCAGTAGGGATACCTATTAATTTTAATAAGCTGAACTGTTTGCTAATTTATTTGCTGCTGATGTTTGCTATTTATTTTTTCTTTTGTAAATTATAGTAATAATAAAACATATTACTGACCATTTAACTGTTTATTTATAATAAAACAGCTCTAAATGAGCATATTTAATAATTTGGGGATTTTTAAAGGGGGTCAGGGGAATCCCTTATTATGGTGGGCATATCATTTATTTTCACATACCAATGTTGACAGGTATGGAGTATCAGTGTTAAACTTTCATGGGCTTTATGCACAGGGAATTCTTAGGCACGTCTAGTGAATTGTCATGCCTTTATAAACCCACCGCGTTTAAAGGTCCAGTGAAATGAAAATTAACATTTGCATCGCTTAACTACCATTCATGAATTAGCTCGCGGGGCATCATGGGATAGCGCAGCATGCATGGGATGGGCACTCCAGAATCTCGCCAGAAGTAGTAAGTCATCCGGGTACTTCTCGCAAGACTCGCAAACTGTTTTTCGAATTCTAAAGCTGCGTCTCAAATGGCACAACATGCACTCATGCACTATGTACTTATGCACTCACACACTCAACAGCGTAGTATACGTATGTAGTGTTGTCCCAAATGGCACACTAATGTTTTTTACTCAGGGAAAATTCAAACCGTTTACTTGATGAAGTTTGACGGTCACCAAATCAGTAAAATAAATGACCAAACTATCAAATAATACCTGCCACGATTATAACCACATTCACCATCGGGAGGTGCTATAATCACTCTATTGGCGTAGAATAGTGCATAAATATGCGATTTGGGATGCAGCTTTTGAATTCGGACATACTAATCGGCTCACATACTGATTTTAGCATACTGTATAGTATAGAAGTATGCGGTTTTGGACGCAGCCTAACAGTTTTCAGTATAAACACACTACTTACACTGTTTATACTACAAAATGGCGTAGAATAGTGCATAAATATGCTATTTGGGACGCAGCTACTGTCTTTTTTCCTTCTGAACCCTGGTACACTTGCATCATCGAGCTGCTGTTGTGTGTACAGCTGTTGCCAGGTGACGGCCATGAAAGCCAAAGCGTCAAAATGGAAAGACATACGCACATCAGGGTCGTTCTGCTTTTTCTGAATCTTTTGATTTTAGTAACGTATAGAGAACCACTTGCGTCTCTCTGCCGCAAAAATATAAAGACTGTTCAGAAGGTCAAGGTATAATTTATTGTCTCCCGTAGGAGAAATTTGCTTTAGAAAAAAGGTTCTGCTGTACATAGACACCAACAAGACAACATGTAACATGCATACACATTAAAATCTAATCCTAAAATCCCTCCTAATATAAATACGATTCCATAAAATCAGTCATTTAAAACATTTTTATAAAAATAAAATACAATGTGCCCCCACTGCCCTTTGTTGTGTCAACCAATCCCGTTATCTTAATCTTTGGCCGTCCTTTCCTACTTGCTCATTGATCAGTTTAATTGAAAAAGGAACAAAAGAATGTTTATATCTATTGTATTTGCATAACGGGACCCTGTATCTTCTGCCAGAATTCATCAGCTCATACTCCAAAGGCAGCACATGTGACCAATCAGATAAAATCTTGTTGGCTTGTTGGATTGTGCACAGCGCAATAATATAATTTAGCGAACCAAGTGTCTTAATTCCCATGATTTTTCCTGCCACTCTCATCAGGTTATTTACTTGGGTTTTCATTTTTACTGTCAGATTCCAAAACCAAACAATAATCCCATATCTTAAAATAGACTCTATTGTTGCTTTATAAAAAGTCAGCATTATTCTGCTACTCACTCCAAATAATCTTAGTCTACGTAAAAAGTGTAATCCCTGATGAATTCTTGCACAAAGACTTGACACCTGAGAGTGCCAATTAAGTTCGAAATCAATATTCACCTCTAAATATTTATATGCATCAACCTGCTTAATGTCTTTATGATAAGCTCAACTCCTTGTTCTCTCCAGACTGGATTATTGCAACTTTCTACTAGCCGGGCTTCCAGCTAACTCTATCAAACCTCTTCAGATGATTCAGAACGCAGCAGCACGAGTGGTCTTCAATGAACCTAAAAGAGCACATGTCACTCCGCTACTCATCCGTTTGCACTGGCTGCCAGTTGCTGCTCGCATCAAATTCAAAGCTCTGATGTTTGCTTACAAAGCGACCTCTGGCTTTGCTCCTTCTTATCTGCTCTCACTTCTGCAGATCTATGTGCCCTCCAGAAACTTGCGTTCTGTGAATAAACATCGCCTCGTGGTTCCATCCCAAAGAGGGAAGAAATCACTTTCCCGAACTCTCGCATTCAATCTGCCCAGTTGGTGGAATGAACTCCCTAACTGCATCAGAACAGCAGAGTCACTCGCTGTCTTCAAGAAACAACTAAAAACTCAACTATTTAGTCTCCACTTTCCTTACTAATCTCCAATTGCCTCTCTGGTTCCACCGCTAACTGTACTAAAAAAAAAAAAAATAAATAAAATAATAATAAGTACATTACTAATGCTTTGCTTCTTACACTTTACACACCTAAAACTTGCCTACAGCACTTATTCTTTGTTGCTCTTATAGTTGTGTAAATTGCTTCCTTGTTCTCATTTGTAAGTTGCTTTGGATAAAAGCGTCTGCTAAATGTAAATGTAAACCACAACAGAGCTCCTATCGCTCACTGACATGGGGTCTGTGATGACATCCTCCGTTTTTTTTAACATTAATTTCCAAATTGTGGTCATCACATTAGCTGACAAACCATTTTACAGCGGCTCTGTATTCCATGATGCTAGCATCTTTTGTGAAAAGGTGCAGTAGTACAGTGTCATCAGAAAAAGTAAGAATATATTGATTTGTCTGCTGCCTAACGCAGTCGTTTGTATAAAGGGTGAACAAAAATGGTTTTGTGGCGCCCCTGTACTGCTTGTTGCTACGTCAGATATTATAACCCTGAATTAAATTTTACTTGATGTGTCCTGTCTGTTAAAAAAAGAATAAAACCATAAAAACATAACGCAACGTCTGCAGAAACGGTTTTTAGAGCAGACAAGGAATCATTACCACTGTGTTTGCCCTGGATCAGTCCCATCTGTCAGCAAGTTAATGTTAGGTGACTTAAGTTTGTTGTTTAACCTTTCAATTCTGTTATTGGGTACGATTGCATTCATTAGAAGTGAACCGAACCAGATTTCACATGGTTCTCAGGTGCGCACCCAAGTTCAGAAAACATCATTCACACTAGCTTAACATATCGTACTGTGACATCAAACGAACTCTAGTGCAGCCCAAAAGTGCTCGTGTTTTACCACAGTATGATGGCTTTTCATGTTGTTTTACACTTAAGCAACTAGATTCAGGCTAAAGTGTATGTATTTTATTTAATTATATTTAATTTAAATTGCATTATCAATGGTGTAAAAAGAACCTTATTAAACTGGAAATAGTCACATAAACCTTTTGCTGGACGTTTATCAGTTGATCCGTTTGTTACGTCGTGACATGGAATACGGTTTCCGGGTACAAGCCGCAACTCATTTGAATTGAGACAAGGGTTGGTTGTTTATGGTGACAAAAAAATGGTCATAAACAACCATTTTCTTAATTCAAATGAGTAGCTTCATCACAGGACCATTGTTTTAACAATTAATAAAAAAAAAATTAATTGCTTTCTTGGTATATATATATATATATATATATATATATATATATATATATATATTTATATATATATGTATATATATATATATTTATATGTATATATATATATATATATATATA